AGAGGGTCCCAGACAGAGCTGGAGAAAAATGTAGAACAAAATTCTAACTCACAAAAAAAGACCAGACTTACTGGCCTGACAGAGACTGGAGAAACCCTAAGAGTATGGCCACCAGACACCCTTTTAACTGAGTAATGAAGTCACTCCTGAGGTTCACCGTTCAGCCAAAGATTAGACAGGCCCATAAAACGAAACAAGACTAAAGGGGCACACCAGCCCAGGGGCAAGGACTAGAAGGCAGGAGGGGACAGGAAAGCTGGTAATAGGGCACCCAAGGTCAAGAAGGGACAGTGTTGACATGTCAGGGGATTGTCAACCAATGTCATAAAACAATATGTGTACTGTTTAATGAGAAACGAGTTTGTTCTATAAACCTTCATCTAAAGTACAATTTAAAAAAAAAAGAATTCCTTCCTCAAGCATATATGAACATATGAATGTGAATATATAGGTGTAACTGTGGGCATATTTAACTACATATTTATGTACACTGCATATATTTTTGAATATAAAATAAAGCACATATGGGGCACAGTTATGGATACTTTGGAGACATAACCAAACACCTCACAGGACTGGTTCACTGGGTTTGAGGGCTTAAGACCATAGTCTCATGGGACAACTTGGTCAACTGGCACAATATAGTCCATAAAACAATGTTCTACATTCTGGTTTGGTGAGTAGTGTCTGGGGTCTCAAAAACTTGGGAGTGGCCATCTGAGATACAACTATTGTTCTCCAGAGAAAAATGTAGAACAAAACTCAAATTCCTAAGTAAAAGGCCAGACTTACTGGACTGTAGAGACTACACTAAACTGAGATTATTACCTTTGGAAACTCTTTAAACTTGGAACTCAAACCATTCCCAGAGATCACCTTTCAGCCAAATGACCGATTGACCTATAAAGTAAATAATATCACCCGTGAGTACTGTGCTTCTCTAAATAATCATCTAAATGAAATCAAATGATAAATATTTACCCTAGACCAAAGATAAGAAGGTAAGGGGGGAGGGGGCAGGGAAGCTAGGTTAACGGAAACAGAACAACCAGAATGGAAATAAAGACGCTGCTGATATATTGTGAAGAATGTAATCAATGTCACTAAACAATGTGTACAGAAGCTGTTAAACGAGAACCCAATATGATGTGTAAACTTTCACCGAAAACACAATAAAATATCAAAAAGCTAAAATTAAAAAAACACCATGGGTCTTTGAGATCCCCTGGTGAGAGGCAAACATGATCGGGATCTTTCTTCCTTTATCGGTTTTATTGAAAAGAGTCTATTTTATGTTTTTGCAAATTATATAGGTAACTGTGTTTCATCTAAAATCTAAATATTGTTTGGTGCTTTTTGTTGCTTTTGAGTTTTAATATCTTCAACAATAACAAAAACAACCCAATCATCTTATTCCTTTAAATATAACTACTAAATATTCCAAAAATCTATCTAAATGGAAGGAAAACAGGTCTTAAGTCACTGTATTTTTTTGGTGAAAACATTGCTTACCTAGAGCCAGAATGCCTAACTTCTAATTCTGTGTTTCCATTGCTTATTGGAGCCCTAGTGGCACAGTGGTTAAGAGCTTGGCTGCTAACCAAAAGGTTGGTAGTTCAAATCTACCAGCTGCTCCTTGGAAACCCTATGAGGCAGTTCTACTCTGTCCTGTAGGGTCACTATGAGTCGGAACCGACTCGATGGCATCTAACAACAACATTGCTTATTACCTTTGGTGATTCTGGGCAACTCACCCAACGTCTGTGCCTCAGTTTCCTATTCTGTAAACTGAGGAGAATAAGCCCTCCCAACCTCAAAGGGATGCTGTGGGGATCAACAATATTTTATTACTGTGTC